GTAAACAATGCTCCACCCTGGAAGTATACAGCAAGATTTGGCTCAAAGGCTCAACGTCCACAGAGACAGTATTGGACACGTGCCCTGGCGTCTAGAATGATGAATGATAGACTTGGAAGTGGTAGACTTTGGATCACAACGAAGAAACAAGACCGAGACATTACCGCTTTCATCTCCAGAAAAGACTGCATCTTGCATCACTGCGGCACGTTAAGTCCCTGAATAAAGACCAATCTTTGCGAAAACTGAGTACATGTAGTCCCAAACGTTAGATGAACTTAAACAAATGCTAGAAAGAATCTTGCAGCAGATTCCCCCCAGTAGGTTATCCAAAAACTTTACTTTTCCAAGCGTCGACAGTGTCAGTCAGTTATCAGTGTGGCAAGTGGCCATACGCGGTACTGATTTTGTGACTTCGGAAACTGGGAGGGGGAAGAAGATGGGGCTTAAATTTTGACGGATAATTTTGTACCCTAAATGAACACCTCTGTTAAAATGATCTATGCTCACCAATTCTTTATGTGCGTGTCATCTCGGAAAGAGATAGAACTTCTTAGGAAAATTGGTTTGCAAAGTATAATATTCGATTTCTATGCACACTTACAGTACTGTTCTCTGTAAGTATGAAAATAATATCATTGTCATTCAAAACAACCTAAACCGGCCAAGAAAGAAAAATATACGATCCCCGTTTGATTTCACTGACATTTTTTTTATAGAAATCTTGAGATGAAAAGGATTCGACAGACTATACCTTACTTATACTTTTCCGATCCAGCGGCCATATTATGAGTTCTAGCCCTTCGGCCTATTGATGTGGCAAAGAATTTACAAGGATTTATCAGCTGCGGTTTGTCGCTGTATAGAGTATTTCTGACATAATCTGTGAAGGCAGGTAGGTAGGTACTACGCAGGTCTTTTTAAGAGCCAGCAGGTAAAGAGGTGATATTGTTATAATACTGTTTCATCCTGTCATGGCAGCCACAGAGTGGACAGGCAGGTGGGGTATCCTTACGGATCCTGTTTAGGAAGGAATTCAAAGGGATGTTTTGTTTTCGCAGGCGAAAGATGGTGACTTGTTCTCTTCTACTCAGGAAATTTAGTGCATCTTTTGAGTGGAGAGCAGTCATGTTCGCAAATGCAGTCCTCCCTGTTGTAGCATTCGATGATGTTCTTGACTGTCTTTTGTGGCACTTGATTTTGATGTCTTGTTTGTGATGCTCTCTTCTTGGCAAGGCTGTCTGTTCTGTCATCACTTGGGATGTTGTTGTGGCCATGTATCCACTGTAGAGTCAGATCGACGAGATAGATCTGTATAAAGGTGTTAGAGCCATGGATATCCAAGCAGGGCTTTCGAAATCCATGTTTTCCTAAGCTTGGAGTACTAATTTTCCGTCTGTGGAGATTTACAGTATTCTTGATTGTATCAATGTAATGAAAATGTTGGTTGGGTGGAGGATTGCTGCTTTAATCGCGATGGCCTCTGCCTCATAATTTATACAAGAAATACCACAGGCACTAAAAGTTCTTTGCATATCTTGTCAGGATATTCTTTTCTTACTCCAAAGCTTGCATTAATGGTTCCCATGGCTGATCCATCGGTGTGAATATGGACTGAATTACTAGGTTAGGAGCCATGTTTTAGCAGTGGTCTTCAGTTCTACTGGGTCATATTCCTTTATGAGGGAAGTTTTGAAGTTGGTGTTCTTGATCTAGGTTTTTATGGGAAATTCTGGTCTTAAGGGTTTCAGAATAGTTTACTCTATTAAACGGAAGTTGGGTTCTTCTTCTACTTAGGTGACTGTGCCGAGTATTGATCTTCCATGAATTCGTTTCTCTGGTCGTCTATGTTCAATGATCTTTTTGTTTGGGTCGTTTGTGTCTTGTCTCTTGTAGCGCACCTGTGTGTATGTACTGATTATTTTGGACAGGTCCAACTCTTGATAATGATTTGGTCCGAATGTTCAAGAAATGACCTGGGTCCGCGAGGGTTTGCGGGGAAAGAACAATGAAAATAGCCACAGAACCAACAGTTTTATTTTCATGGAATCAAAACTTTCACATGAGATACTTAGATTATAGAGCTACTTTTCCATATAAATCGGTGCTTATTTGTCCAAAGCTGCATGGGATAATAGAAGTCCCATTTGAAGAAATCCGTGTCAAGATTTTGCAAGCAAGCTTAAGAATCACCGGATGTGTCAAGACTTGATGGAATAGGGCACGCGTTAATGTTTGAGCATTTTATTATTATTGCTACCTTGAACAGAGGTAGAGATAGTGACGACTGAAGGTTATTGGGGTCGCTTGGTGCAAAAGGAAAAAAATAACGAGAAAATTGCCGCCAGAGTTTGGTGAATTCGAAAGCTCTCGTCTCCTTGGAAAGTGTAAATTCACATATTCTGTGCCTTGTGCTTTTATTCAATGTTTAACATTAAAACCAGGAACAAAAGAAACGTGTTTTTAAAGGGGAAGGGGAAGGGGAAGGGGAGGGGGGGGGGGGGGGGGGGGGGGCACACCCCGAGAGTCACGATTCCGGTCAAAATTATGGATTTTGAGTTGTAGGCATTTTTAGCTTTTTCCGCCTCTCTTACAACTATTTCATAGCATACGAACCTCCTAAAGCCTTATTTCTTCCCGTACCAGGCATGTTCGTCACCACCATTTATGATAAAATCAATCTTTAATTTTTCTTTATCGCCAGTTTTCTCAAAACGCTGTTTTTGTATAGACTTTTAAAAAATAACTCTACCACTTTGTATCTAATCTTCATGAAATTTTCACAAAATGAAGAAAAGAAGTAATCTAAAACTCATCTGTTAAATTTTTTATACATAGAATAGATTTTTGTAGGTGGATTTTCATGGATTTTTCGCAAACTTGAATATGACCTCAGGAAAAGATTAATTAAAAATGTTCTAATTCGTTTAGGAAAAATTCATCAGAGAACATTATAGATCTAATGTTTGCTAACATGTTTGCAAAAAATAACAACAATCTATGTCGATGAAAATTAGTGAGGTATTCATTACGTAAGACATGTTACTAAAATCTAATATGGCGCGGTATCCATGGAACCAAAACTTTTTTCTCAAATTTGATTACGGTTTTTAAGACTCCTTGCTATGCTTGTTATATGTGTGACGTGAGGTAAATTTGATCGATAAGCGAGATAAAAGTGGATGTAATAGGTGTAGAGCCCAAAATGAAAAATAGATTCTTTAAATTGCCAAACAAGCGAGATTATTATTTTGACCAGCACCTGATTTTACAACGATACCCCACAAATGGATTCTAATCTTTTTCTACGTCAAAGATTCGACCAGCTAAGTGTCTTTTGAAGCGTCCGAAAAGATGGCAGTCAGAAGGAGCCAGATCAGTATTATTGGGAGGATGGAGCAAAACCTTCCAATCTTACTTTTATTTTTTACATTCTCTCCTTTACCTGGTTTGTGGTATGCCGTAATGACGCTCATATGCTGCAGAGTGACTCCTTTGCTAAACCGTACAGGTCTTTTCTGCGGTAGCACTTTTCTACGTTTGCGCATTTTTCACAGTAGCAGCAGACCTTTTTGAACGTGTGGTAGGCGAATACGCAGACCAGCTTTTGTGTTCAAGAACGCTATTGCCATTAATTTTCAGGGCTGAATATTGAGCTTTTTGACAGGAAGGGATGATGGATGTTTCCATGTGACCGAGCCCCTCTCCCTGTGCCAAGTGATGATAGATAGCATTTGTATGAATAAAGAGCTTTGGGAAAAGACAGGACAAGAGGATATAGAAGTAGAAATATGACTAAGAAAGTGGCGATGGATGGGACACACCTTCAGAAAGTCCAGGGGAAACATCACAAGACAGTCGCTATAGTGGAACCCACAGGGAGCACGAGGCAGGGGTAGGCCACGGGAAACATGGAAGAGGTGTGTGGAAAGGGACACGAGAGAGATGAAGCTCACTTGGAAAGAGCCTGGAAGGATGGCCCAGGACAGAGAAAGAGCTTGTATGTGGCCTACACCCTGCCAGGGGTGGAAGGCATTGGTGATGAACTCCCGCTCAACAGCAAGCTCTATGCGCTTTACAATCTAATAGTATTACCCAAACAGACCTGATAGCATTCTGAATCAATCTCAACTTCCTGGAAGGCATACAGTGCAAGTCGTCATTTTTATAAGCTCTAAAACACTTAACATACAAGATCTGTCGCCGTCTTTGGCCATTCCCATCTGGGTGAAGTGATAAAAATTAGTGTAAAGTGCATTTCCCAAGGACACAACGTCGGGCCTAAGGCTCGAACCCCCGAACCAGTAATCTCACGATTATGAACCCAGAAACCTAACTACTAGACTACCAATGCGAAGAAACCAAGTCTTATCGCTTGTAAGCATACATTCATGAACGTTTCTGTAACGTCCACGGAAATCGCCTCGTGTGTCTTGGATGCTTACAGCTTTGAACGCGATTTGTTCTACGAGTCAAAGCACCATTCTCTGTATAATATAACTGAATCGGTGAAAGACAGACACACCCATATTTTTTCGGTGAGGGGGGGGGGATAAAAAAAACTATTGCACTGTGACCCTGCCCAAGAGAAAAACCGATACAGAACAGTTTCAGCTTCAGTTTGGTAAAATTTTACGGCGCTCGCAACTACACGTGGTCATATGAGCTCGCAGAACAGCATTTGGTTGTTTTCACGTTAGTCTATAACACGGCTTCGGTTACATTCAAAATCAGAAGGATTGAATTATCTAAAAATACATAGCGAAAATGTATTTTGTAAAATAAGAGAAACGTATATAAAAAAACAAACAAAAAACAAATATGTAGAGTTTGCCGTAAATTGCGGTAAAGACCAGTGGCCATCACATAATCTAGAATTCTGTTGGGATCAAAGATGGTACAAACAAGAAATCGTATTCAAGAACAAACAAAAAACATAAGAAGCAATAAAAATTGCGCACACAAAAAAGGGAAAGAGCAGATGTAAGACAGCACCGTACACAAGATTCCCGCTGTTGTAGCTCGCTGCTGAAGTTGTTCTTGAGCTCCTCCATGGTGGCCAGATGGCTCTTGACCTCCGTCCGGCAGACGACCAGCGCTGACTCCCTCTGCTGAACCTGCTCATGGAACTGACTGACCTTCTCCTGGAGGTTCTCAACCGTTCTCTGGCTCACTTTTTCCTTTTCTTTCAGGTCCTGGGGCCAGACAAAAAAGAGAGAGAAAAAGTGAGAGAGAGATAGAGAGAGAGAGGGGGGAGTACTAAAAAAGAAAAAGAGAGAATTGGGGAAGAGAGAGAGAGAGAGAGAGAGAGAGAGAGAGAGAGAGAGAGAGGGAGAGAGAGAGAGACAGAGAGAGGGTGAGAGAAAGAGAGAGGGGGGGAGGTGGGAGAGAATGAGAGCGAGAAAAAAGGGGAGGGGTGCAAGAAAGAAATAAGGGGAGGGGTGCAAGAAAGAAAGAGCAAATGGTGAGGAGAAGAATTAGAGCAAATGGTGAGGAGAAGAATGTTTGTGGGGGGGGGGGGGGGGGGAGAGAAACAAAGAAAAATTAGGGTTAGGAGAAGGAGAGAGAAGGGGATAGACCGAGAGGAGAGGAAGAGAGAGAGGGAGGGCGGTCGGGAGGGGCGGTGGAAAGAACAGGGACAGAAAAATTAGATCCTTGCGCTAAAAAAGGAGTAAAAGGAGAATAGACGCGGAAGAGTGAGAGAGGTCGAGAAAGAGAGATAGAAAAAAGAGAGAAAGAGGGAGAGACGCAGAAGGAGGATAAGAGTGAGCATGGAAACTATGAGACGGGAAAAAGACTTGTATGTTTCTTTGGCTCATCTTGTTTCTCCCTACGACAGTCAGTTTGATGGAAGAGACGCAGATGGTATACAGTGAGGGGAGGGGGTTGTGAGAAAAAGACTCATTGTAAGAGTGTAAATAACGATAAGACAATTCTGTTCCCACCCCCCCCCCCTCCTCCTATTTCCCCTTTTCTCTAATTTTCCCTGTTACTGTTATTGTCTCAATTCAACATGAAACTTTCACAGAACTGGCAAGTCTTATAGACCAGTTCCAAAATCTTAAAACAAATTATGACTGGCGATTTTGGTGTAACACCCAGGCACTTCAACGTCCCACACAGAAGACAAGAGTTCGATTCCCGAGTAGGAAGTTTTCTTGTTGTTGTTTATTGTAATTTAGCATGACGTCTGTCTGCTGGAACGTGTAGTATCCTTCTCATCACGGGTAGGCCCTGAGAAGTAGGATCGAATAAGCCCTCCTCTTAGATTATCTAATAAACAGTGCCGATGATGGGTACGCACACATCTATAACTACATCTTTACGCCGGTGTCGTGGAATATTTCGGAACCAGGATAAATCGGAACTGGTTCCCAAAAATCCTAGGATATTTCGGAACCATTCCCATTTATCCTGCACCTGGCGGCAGTATATTTGGGAACCTCCAGGATATTTCGGAACCACCGTCATCCCTGTGTGATACGCAGTGTCTCACACTTCACAATCAAAGGAAACAGACAACGAATAAAATTAAACATTTTTATTGGCAACTAGCATACCCACATTACTGAAATGCTACGTGAAAACATAGAACCAGAGAACAAAATGACACAATCCTTGGCAGCTTTATATGTGTACATTTGGCTCACAGGCTT